TTCGTCAAGTAGGAGTTAGAAATTAAATTATAGTCTTCGTGGGAATAATTATTTAGACTTATAGTTTCACTATATTACTTGTTACAATCTGTATACTTACGGTATATAAAATCGACAACAGTCTACCATCGAGAAACTCCATGTAATGACGAGCCATTTAAGGAGGTGCTCTCATCTCCATTTCAAGAGTGATTTTTCATTTTGGGATGATGTTATCACCCGTGAATCCATATAATGGCAAGCTAATGAGGGCCAGCTCATGGTCTACTATTACCATATCATAGATGGCTCCTAAAACAATGTTAACAAAGCTCCCATTGTCTACCAACATATTCTTCAATCTATTGCGTGCTATCACAACCTTTACCACTAGGGCATCACAATAGAGATAGTATAGACATGTCGCATCTTCTTAAGTGAAGGTGTTGGGCTTAACACCCCCAGCCTCATGGCCATGGTTTTTGACTATACAGCTAGCCATTGGAAGACCATTGGCCTTCCTAGCATAATTCATTTGCACATTCTAGGATTCATTCCCTACATAGGGACGTTCGAAGATTGTGTATGTGTGTTATCTACATCTACTGGGTGGTCTTTCATTTGCCTCTACACATTTCTTTGTCTTTCTCTATTCTCATAACTCATATAGCAAGAGGGAGTCTTTTCTAGGAGGTCACCTCGCCTAGGCTATTCGACTTGCCTTAACAGGGGCGAATTCTCTTTGGGAGCAATTATCTCTTCTAGGCTCACGAAGGTTATTCCACTCCATGAGTGGTGCTATATTTCTACATTCACTTGTATCATGACTCAAATAATCACTGATAGGTACAGTAAGGGTCTTATGTTGACGTAGGGCCTAGTTCTAGTCCATTGCTAGATCTTATATCGACGTAGCGCCTATTTCTAGGTCTGTTGCCTCTTGGTAAACTGATGGGCAAGGGATAATTTCTTGGATCTCATAGGCATTAGGTCTTGCCTCTTTATAAGCTAAGACTAGTAAAACGTTCGAGGTGGTCATAGCATAGGATTTGGACTAAGGTGGGGACGATTTGATGCACCTACTTGGGTCTGTCGTTGGTTCACCAAGTGAGATGTTGGACTTCTCACTCTTTGCCTTTAAAGGGATGGAAGTCTACTAGCTGCCCTATTGTGATCAAGCTTATAGGACCTACATTGCCTATCAGGATCCTTCTCATCAACTTGGTATCTATGCGGTTGGGAGGTCCCTGCTAGTTCCCTTGCAACTTCTATTGACTTTTTCTCATGCCTATTTCTAGGCTAAGGGTCTCTTTGGGGTCTATAATTTTGCATTTGCTCATATGGCCTTACTAAGGTAGGTGGCTGTTAGGACCTATTTCTAGAAATGTTTGGGTCAATCATATTGAAGATACTAATGGACCCTTGAGGTCTTTGCTCTCGTTCATATTTAGGAGGAAAATTATCCCCTTCGTTGAATGGATCATTCGCATGTCAAAACATGTAGTTTGTTAACACATCTACTCCTACCTCCCTTTCAATATGGCTGGCACCTCTTCAGTAGTTATGAGATTGAGCCCTTCACTTTACACTTTTTCTTCATTTTGCTGATGGAAGAGGGCTGGCTGGGCACATTTTAGGACATTTGATAACCCGCTTGTCCTTGCATTTGGAGGATGAAGTATTACATGGAGTTTTTCTTCATGATATTCCTCATCTTGGTGACAATTTCTACTAATTTTCTAGTAAGGCATACAACGACCCTTCCACCTTGACAATGATGATGGTGAAATCGACGGTGCGTAACAATGGTTCGGAGGACCTTTTCTTTAGAGACCTCCATTGACCTCCTTGGATGTATATCTTCTACACTAGCACTTATTATGGAAGATGGCTCTTTTATTCAAAGAAGAGGTCTCTTCAGCATATTCTTATTTTTTAATCTTCATTTTTCAAAGAATTCAAACACCTAAACTAAAGAACACTCAAACCTTTTTCTTTTGAAACTTCTACTTGTTCTTTATTCAAGAGTAAAACCTTTTTTCAAGGGAGAAGTTGAAGCACTTTTTCGACAAGCTTTTTCACGGGGTTGCTTGTGGTTGATAGTGTGGTTTCCATAGACGGTGCCAATCTATTAATCTCGATTTTTGCAAAGGTGATATGGTCAATAGATCTTGACTCCACTTACGTCCATGTAGACAAGCTCCTACAGACTTCGACAAACCATTAGTAGCTCATGACCTTCTTCGATGGTAGGAGAGGCGATAACAAGTATTTCAGTTGTCAAGTCAGCCAAGGATAGTAGCATATTTGGGTGTGGGATGGTCGAAAAATTTGAGCTATGTTAGTTTACTTGTACCCGAGGGTCTATAAGATAATAAAAATGAAAAAGCAACCTTACTTTGAGTATATAAAGTTGTATTACCTTCAAGTGACACTAAGGGTGTGTTTGATAGGGTGAAAATTCCATGGAAAATAGAATTGCAATTCCATATTTTCATTTTTTTGGTGTTTGATTGGCAAAAATTTCCTTGGAATTCAGTTTCCACATTTTCGTGCCACATAGACATTTTCCATGTTTTGGAGGAAAATGGTGAGAATCCATTTTCCTGGAGATTTTTCTTTTTTCGTTTAATTTTTTTTTTTTTGGCAATGAAAACAAATTTTAAAAATTATTGTAAAAAAATATTTTCCTTTAACTGAAAATCTCCACGTAAAACAAAGCTAAACGAGCACTAAAAGATAAATGATTTTATTGATTTTTTAATTTTTTAATTTTTTTGGCAATAGAAACAAATTTCATCCCTAATACCAGTAAAATCTATCCATTTAATTGATAATTTTCATATAAAATAAAATCAAACGAATATCAAAAAACACTTTTATTTCAACATTTTTATGTGAAAAATTATACAATTAAATACAATAATTTATAATTCTCAGGAAAGCAATTTCTAAACAATTCAATTCCCTGAAATTCGTTTTCTTTCTACCAAAATTCCATCTTTGCAATCAAATGAACCCTAAGTGTAAGCTTTATAATAGAAGAAAAGGAACTGTCATCGTTGGATCAAGAAACATGTGGCCTCATCCTGATATCCGAAGCGTCTCATCCTAGGCATCACTCCATCAATCATAGGCTTATTTGGCATTTGATATTTTTTGAAAAGTGTCCACATTAGAGTCTAGGTCTGACATCTGAAATATAGATTGATAATTTCACCTTTTGACACCTACTGCAAAGATACCACATCAATCAATCATTGTAGGATCTTGCACAAAAGATATCTTATAAGAAGTGAGGTGGAAGGTGATCCTCATCAACAACAAGGCTAATTGCATCGAATCCCCTTTTGTAGCAAGTGATAACACCTTGCCCAGGCAATACAAGGTCAGTCTCTACATGGCACCTCGACGGAAGTGGTACATCACCTTGACCTCCTTATGTACGACCTCACCTCAATCAAGTAGGATGGTGACATGGAGTGTAGACCTAATTGGACTTGCAAGCTGACTGTCACGTGGCCATGACCTAGAGCCTCATTGGAAGAGGCGTAACAAAAACTTTGTCAAATGCATCCTAAAACTAATATATACCTATAGCTAAGGCCCTCAACATTTAGTCAATATATGCCTCTAAATACTAGTGACATGACACACTTGTTAATTGGTTGATCATTTAATTCATAGACTTACCATAAAAAATTGTTCTCCAATTAATAGATGTGATATATGACTGATGTTTAGGAAATCATTTCTCTCTATCCATACACATATATAGAGAAAGAGAAATGACGGTCCTTATAGCACTGACGTTCTCTATGTTCATTTTTTTCTCTCCCTCTTATAATGTGTTAGCAAGCTTCTTACCAAGTTTGAATTCAATTTGAGCCCATTTGTGAAGAAACCTAGGGGACAAAGAATGGTGTCATACAATTTTATTGAAATAATTTCAATATATTGTCAGATAGAATGTTTGATAGGGCCAAAACCTTGAGAGCTTCATATTAAAATCGAGATTCACTATGGATAAAATGAAGCATTATTTGGAGATTTGAGGATAAAGTTATGAAAATTACGATTTGTCAACTTTTAGATGTCTATTCATATCATCAGGGTCAAAGTTACTAAGTCTATTGCAAGAGGGACATGCTTTAGATATCTATTCATGTCATCAAGGTCAGCTAGTTCATTATGTGCTTCCACCCTACAAAGGGAAATCCTTGTGGGGTATCTTTATGTAAAAAAATGCACAATCCTTATAGTAGTTGTAAAGAGTAAGGAACACACCAGGCACTTACTCGGCCTTCGTGCCCTCATGGGGACCCTTGAGGGACCTGATGTTATTCGACGAGCATTTTTATGCTTTAAATGCTGCAACATTGATATGAAAATGCCTCTAAGCCGAATTATTTATCTAGGAACCTCGTTTGGATTGGCTATATAGAAAGTGATGAGGTCAAAGTTTAACTTGTCAATCATGCAAATGATCCACAATGCTTGAGATGGAGCAAGAGTGCTTATTTCCATATGGGTTCTACCAAGCGTACAGAACCCTTTTTCACAGACATCATACAGATATCTTACACTTCGGTGAGATTGGATTTTTTCTACCTTTTTTTAATACATGGCTCCTGCAGTGGGGCTGACCTCTATGTGAGGCTTATAATTTTTCTCTGTGAAAACACTTCTGTACAACTAACATTATACTTTTCATATTAGGCATATTTCTTTTCTTTCGTAAAAGAAATAACAATCAAACACTTTAAAAAGTTAAAATTCGAATGGAAAGAACCTTTTCTCATGAAATTTTTTCAATCAAACGCATCCTGATTCAACAGGCACTGCCGTATGTTATCATCAATTTATGACAATAAAACTTGTGTGGATTTCTACTAATCATGCGACGTGTCCTGATATTGAGCGCTCACGTGCAATTCTTTCCACCATATATTTAACAAAACTCACTTTACCATTATCCGGATCCCAATTATATTATAACATATCCAAATTTTTCTTTGGTGTTGTGCTGGCACATCGCTATTGAATATAGATCAGTCACAGCTCCACGATCAGAGGCACATTCTAGAAAAATATCCATATCCAGATTATTAATTGTATTGTTCTTGACCTTCCTCTGCTTAACTTTTGCTTTGCAATAACCTTTATTCTTTAAGCAAAGACCTAATCTTTAATTCCAATTCTCTTTACTCTTTGTACAACTCCATACACCTCAATTTTTCCGGAGTCTAGACCTTTTCTTTTTTCTTTTAATTTCTGATTTCGTTTGCGATTGATAATAATATTGATTTTCTTGAATCGGAACTCGTAAGTTGAAATAGGAAAAGAAAGCGAGATGGCAGATGTGATTAGCCAGACCAGTTTGATTTTGCCGTGTGTTGGTCATCAGAGTCGACATGGGGTGGCGGTTTTTCCGAGTAAATCGCCAATTTCTTTATCTGCTACGAGGTATTCATCTTTGAAACTCCAAAACACAGCTCTCGCATCGTCTTCATCTTTGGTAGGAACCGAATTTTTCGCCCGTGGAAACATCGGAGCCATCAGACGAAATCCTCGACCACCGCCTCCTAATGCCCACGTTTGTTATTTGTCCTCAATACTCTTCAATTATTTCAATTATGTAGTGCAGATTTGAAATTGAATTTGTGGTGTATTTGCCCGTTTCTTTTTATTTTATTAAATTGACACCATCCATGTTAGATACTACAAAATATGATGGGGTTTGGCATTATTATATCGATACAATTCACAAAATCTGAGCAGAAAGCCAGCTCTCTTCATTGCGTTTCACCACACCACCCCCACCTGATCTGAAGCAGCGTTTCTATACCTTTTTTTCAAAGAGTTGAATTTTGCCTGCCTTATGAATCGATCATTTCCGTCTGAACATATTTTTGCTTGAAAGGAGAATTCCTTTTTCTTTCTCCAGGTCAATTAAAATTTAACTTGACAAATTAAACGATTGCATTTTATACGAATAAACTTGTGGATGGTTGTGTTGCTGCTTTATTTATTTAAGTTATATCCCTACAACTGTCCTAACAGAAGTTTTCATACCTATGCAAAAATATAGTCTTTCTGTTTCCCTGGTTAATTAATTTGTGAATATGTTTCCGATGGTTTGATTTCAATTTTCAGGTTCCATGATTGATTTGGCTCTTAGGTTGTAGCATTCTGGTTTGTTATTGGTGCATAAATCTTAAGGATAATTCTAACCTTTGAATTGTGTGTGTATACAGGTGGGCTTTGCAATTGGGAAAGCTCAGAAGTGGTGGGAGAAAGGGGTTCTACCTAATATGAAAGAGGTGACTGGTGCCCAAGACCTGGTTGACTCCCTTTTGCATGCTGGGGATAAACTTGTTGTAGTTGATTTCTTTTCCCCCGGCTGTGGAGGTTGCAAAGCTCTTCATCCCAAGGTACAACCAAACATTTTAGGCTTGTGCTTGTTGAATTTTGACTGATGTTTTGATTGAAGACAAAATCAATTGATCATCATTTTGTCTAGAGGTATGTTTGTTAATAATCAATCAGGGTTGTGTTTTTGGAACCACAGATATGTCAATTGGCGGAGATGAATCCGCACGTGCAGTTCCTGCAGGTTAATTATGATGAGCACAAGGCTATGTGCTATGCTCTTAATATCCATGTCCTTCCCTTCTTCCGCTTTTATAGAGGTGCTCATGGTCGTCTGTGCAGTTTTAGTTGTACCAATGCCACGGTGAGTCTTATACCTTTGTTCCCCTGTTTGTTACTTTTCTTTACTTACCTGATATATGGGTTGAAGCTGAGAGTTTACAAGTCCTGCAACGATGTTAAGTTCTTAGTAATGCTTGCCCCGGCTATGTGGCCTTGTGTTCACACGTTATTTCTTTTTCTTTGCGCAATCTTACTCTGAAACCATACTCATAGTGATGTTGATGATATCATGACAGATCAAGAAATTTAAAGATGCTCTGGCGAAGCACAGTCCGGATCGTTGCAGCTTGTGTCCCACCAAAGGGCTGGAGGAGAAGGAGCTACTTGCTCTCTCAGCTAATAGGGATCTATCCTTCGTCTATGATCCATTACCTAAGGAAGAGGGACAAGTATTTGTTCCTGAAAGGGAGAGGGAAGAGATTTTAAGTGCAGTAACATCACCATTGTCTCATGAAGCGATACTCCCCCTCTCTCTTCCCCTCCCCCTTCCCCTTCCGCTTCCATCCACTACTCGATAAAGGCGACTCGAAACTTGAGGCACCTCGTCTTTGGGGAAGATTGTTCAGTTAGTATTTTAGGCGGCTGGATCCAAGTGCCTTCCCTCATGTACAGAACTCGAGGAAACTGATCTTCTCCAGAAGATTATTCAGTCTTTTTAGGTGGTCAGAGCCCAACTTCTTTCCCTCTTTGTGCAGATGTATGTTATCTTCTAGTGTAAATTATGTTGGTGAAGGGCGATAAACAAACGAAAATGCTATATGCAAGGCATGTAGATGTTTAAACCTTATTATTGCAAGCGCCGAATTTTTCGCCCGTGGAAACATCGGAGCCATCAGACGAAATCCTCGACCACCGCCTCCTAATGCCCACGTTTGTTATTTGTCCTCAATACTCTTCAATTATTTCAATTATGTAGTGCAGATTTGAAATTGAATTTGTGGTGTATTTGCCCGTTTCTTTTTATTTTATTAAATTGACACCATCCATGTTAGATACTACAAAATATGATGGGGTTTGGCATTATTATATCGATTCAATTCACAAAATCTGAGCAGAAAGCCAGCTCTCTTCATTGCGTTTCACCACACCACCCCCACCTGATCTGAAGCAGCGTTTCTATACCTTTTTTCAAAGAGTTGAATTTTGCCTGCCTTATGAAAGATTGATCATTTCCGTCTGAACATATTTTTGCTTGAAAGGAGAATTCCTTTTTCTTTCTCCAGGTCAATTAAAATTTAACTTGACAAATTAAACGATTGCATTTTATACGAATAAACTTGTGGATGGTTGTGTTGCTGCTTTATTTATTTAAGTTATATCCCTACAACTGTCCTAACAGAAGTTTTCATACCTATGCAAAAATATAGTCTTTCTGTTTCCCTGGTTAATTAATTTGTGAATATGTTTCCGATGGTTTGATTTCAATTTTCAGGTTCCATGATTGATTTGGCTCTTAGGTTGTAGCATTCTGGTTTGTTATTGGTGCATAAATCTTAAGGATAATTCTAACCTTTGAATTGTGTGTGTATACAGGTGGGCTTTGCAATTGGGAAAGCTCAGAAGTGGTGGGAGAAAGGGGTTCTACCTAATATGAAAGAGGTGACTGGTGCCCAAGACCTGGTTGACTCCCTTTTGCATGCTGGGGATAAACTTGTTGTAGTTGATTTCTTTTCCCCCGGCTGTGGAGGTTGCAAAGCTCTTCATCCCAAGGTACAACCAAACATTTTAGGCTTGTGCTTGTTGAATTTTGACTGATGTTTTGATTGAAGACAAAATCAATTGATCATCATTTTGTCTAGAGGTATGTTTGTTAATAATCAATCAGGGTTGTGTTTTTGGAACCACAGATATGTCAATTGGCGGAGATGAATCCGCACGTGCAGTTCCTGCAGGTTAATTATGATGAGCACAAGGCTATGTGCTATGCTCTTAATATCCATGTCCTTCCCTTCTTCCGCTTTTATAGAGGTGCTCATGGTCGTCTGTGCAGTTTTAGTTGTACCAATGCCACGGTGAGTCTTATACCTTTGTTCCCCTGTTTGTTACTTTTCTTTACTTACCTGATATATGGGTTGAAGCTGAGAGTTTACAAGTCCTGCAACGATGTTAAGTTCTTAGTAATGCTTGCCCCGGCTATGTGGCCTTGTGTTCACACGTTATTTCTTTTTCTTTGCGCAATCTTACTCTGAAACCATACTCATAGTGATGTTGATGATATCATGACAGATCAAGAAATTTAAAGATGCTCTGGCGAAGCACAGTCCGGATCGTTGCAGCTTGTGTCCCACCAAAGGGCTGGAGGAGAAGGAGCTACTTGCTCTCTCAGCTAATAGGGATCTATCCTTCGTCTATGATCCATTACCTAAGGAAGAGCGACAAGTATTTGTTCCTGAAAGGGAGAGGGAAGAGATTTTAAGTGCAGTAACATCACCATTGTCTCATGAAGCGATACTCCCCCTCTCTCTTCCCCTCCCCCTTCCCCTTCCGCTTCCATCCACTACTCGATAAAGGCGACTCGAAACTTGAGGCACCTCGTCTTTGGGGAAGATTGTTCAGTTAGTATTTTAGGCGGCTGGATCCAAGTGCCTTCCCTCATGTACAGAACTCGAGGAAACTGATCTTCTCCAGAAGATTATTCAGTCTTTTTAGGTGGTCAGAGCCCAACTTCTTTCCCTCTTTGTGCAGATGTATGTTATCTTCTAGTGTAAATTATGTTGGTGAAGGGCGATAAACAAACGAAAATGCTATATGCAAGGCATGTAGATGTTTAAACCTTATTATTGCAAGCTTTGAGATCTTTTTTTTGGGATCCGAACTTGCAAAGTGGAATGTATAAAACATGAACGTGCTGCGAATCTCAGCTTTCTTTTAACGTCAATGTAGTTCGATATTTCTACTGTATATTTATAAATAATGTATTATGTTACGCTTCCTCTTAACTCTTAACGAGATTTTGGGTCTGCTTGGCTAATTTTGTTAGTGTGTTTTTTGTAGCTAAATCTTTTTTAAGAAATGGTTCAATACGGTTTTTGTAAATTGGTGAAGTACTTTTAGATATTAGTTTTCAAATAAATATTAAGATAGGAAGCTTTGCTAATTTGGTTTAGACTTAATATCGTCCTTCTAACCAGTTGAGGTGAGGTACTTGAGGTGATATATAAGGTTCATCGAGGTATGATGTAGAGGTGTTAAGCATGCTATAAAGGAGGTCAAGGCACTTGGCCTCATTTAAAAAAGACATTTTACCTGTCACATCTTCCTAAATATCTTTCGTACAATTTTCACCTAGAATTGATTGGTGTGACATTTCTACAGCTATTGATAAATTACCAATCAGTGTATTAAAAGTTAGAGCTAGGAATTGCGGTGAATACTTTTTAGAAACGTTAAATTCCACTCAACCTATGATTGATGGAGTAACAACTAAACGATCATCAACATGAGATCATGTGTCTTTTCAATCAACAGTCAGTATTTCACCTTTATTACTATAAAAGTTCACGCTAATGAAGTTTTACACTCAAGCTATAAATCGCTCACATAACTCTCTACACACTCGAATTCGACCTCCTTTTCTTAGTGGCTTACGTTTAGGGATGGCAATCGGATTCGTCGGTTCAAACCGCTCGTAGCTCGGCTTGAGGCTTGGAGGCACCGAGTCAAAGCTCGGGCCGAGCCTCATTTTTGAGAGTTGGCTCGAGCCGGACCGGCCCGTATTTAAAAATAAAAAAAAAAAGATAAAAAAATCCGCTGCCTGTTTGGCAGCTAAAATAGCTGCCAAAAAGGCAGTTATAACAAGCTGTCAACCGACAGCAGATTAGCTGCCTGTTTGGCAGCTTATTTTAAGCTGCCAAACAGGCAGCAAGAGGTGTAGGGGGAAAAAAATATATCTAGAAATCGAGCTCAGCCTGGGTCGGCTCTGTAAAGCTTGAGCCGAAAGTTCGGGTCGAGCCTTAATTTTCCAACAAAGCTTTTGCTCGGGCCGGCTCGGGCCAAAAAAAGCCCGCCAGCCCAAGCCAAAAAATTTAGCTTGCAAGTCAGCTCGGCTGGACTCGACTCGACTCGTTGACATCCCTACTATATTGCACACACAAAATGCTATTGACTAACTTGATCGTCGGGGTGTTAGAGTTCTCACCACAAATCGCTCTCATAAATCTATTGAACCCTTTTTTTATTTATCCATTATGGTTGAAGTATATTTACATTCTTAAAGCTTTATTAGTTGGGTTTATTTATCTCTTTCTTCGAATTTTATAGTCTTATTAATTGGGCAAATTGCATGAGGTTTACTATTTTTTAAATATGCTTTTTTGTTCTTTTGATCTAGATAACATCATTTTAAATTAAAACAATATCATGGTAAATGTTGTTACAAAATTTTAAAAAAAAATTAAAATGTGATTTTTCTTTGGCAAAAATAATTGACAAATAATTACATAATCAACATACATAAATGTTTTTGAACAATTTAATAACATTTTCTGAAATTAATATTTTTTTTCAAAACTTGACAAAATAGAAGTAATCAAATAATAGTTAATTAATCAAACGAAAAGACTGATCACTAATCAATTTATCATCTGTTCGAAACTCAATTAACTTGTCATGTATTTACAACAATAGTTGATCTCATACCATTTTCTTACTGAATATTTTATCAAAGCTTGACGAAATAGAAGTAATCAAATAATATTTTTGATTAATTCTAGTTTCTTTGTTTTTTTTTTAAATGTTTATATGAAAAGCTTAAAAAAAGGATTTTTTTTTATTAAATTCTAAAACAGTTTATTTTTGTTCTAAATTAATTTTTTTTCTAAAACTAATAAGATAACTAATATATTAATATAGCACAATGTGGAATTTATGTTAAGAGGGGAGGTCTCTGAAATTTCTGCACATGGATGGAATGTTGTTGAAATTGTCATAAATCTTCAAGGGAGATTTGTGTAATTTGCTCAGAAAAACGAATTAACGATTTCAAAATTTTTTTAGATTATGAAAACATTAACAAACTTGATCTATCTACAATAATGACTGATCTTGTATTATTTGAAATGCGATCACATATTATCACGATTGAACTCAACTAGTCTCCAAACAAAAAGACTAGACACTAATCGATTCAACATCTATCTGGTACTCAATTAACTTGGCGTCTATCTAAAGTAATAGTCAATCATATACTATTTTGAAATTCGATCACATTATATCACGATTAAACTCAATTAGTCTCCAAATGAAACACTGGTCACTAATCGATTCAACATCTATCTGGAACTCAATAAACTTGTCGTCTATCTATAGTAACAGTTGATCGTATACTATTTTGAGATTCGATTACACTATATCACGATTAAACATAACTATTCTCCAAACAAAATACTGGTTAGTGATTGATTCATCTATTTGGAACTCAGTTAACTTGTCATCTATGTACATTAATAGTCGATCCCATTTTAGTGGTTTAGCATTGAAATATTCTCTCCTATAAATATCACTCATTTTCTCTAAGTAAATGGAGACCCAAATAGAAAGAGGTTCTTCTTCCTTAATTAATATAAATTATACCCAAATAGATGCTCTACAAATAGAAACTGAAATCTTCCTAATTTTACCATCCTTTTTACGAAATATAAATCATTTTCTTCATATCCCAAGTCAAAGAGAACAGTTCAATCCCTACTGTATTATAAATCATATAATATGTATTAAAATGGATTTTTACAACTATTATCCAATTGGATCAAATATAACCCGTGCATCCAACTTAACTAATGTTATTGGAAGAATAAACATTCTAACATTTCATTTGACCATCATTTCATTGGAAGAAGAAACAACCCAAGTCCATTTCCTTCTTCAAGCAAAAAATCAATGGTTCCACCATTCTTTGTTTTCTTCCATAAACCCATTTTAGCATTCAGTCATGAACCCAGCTAACTCTTCACAAGAGAATCTGGAAACACAAAAATCACTTGTAAGACCATCTATTCGTGGACAAAATTTTGACGATAAGTCGTTATGGAATCATGTCAAAGTTCTTGATACGACAGTAGGTGGATGAGGAAATCGCACTTGGAGTTGCAACTACTACAGCAAGAAAGTGACAGGATCATATTCCAATGTAAAGGCTTATTTGCTAAAACTTTCCAATCATGGGGTTCAACCTTGTAAAGTTGTGATTGATGACATACGAGATCACGAGGAAGCACAGGCAAGCTGAATGGAGACAATCACAATATGAGTACAATGAAAGGAAAAAGGCAGAATATATTTCTCTACCCGACGGTTCGGATTTATCACAGAAGAAATGAAAAAAAGGAGGACGTGGACCTTTGGAAAAGTCATTCGACATGGCACAAAGGGATGTATCTGATAAAGAGGCTGCCCATATGTTTCATGCAAGTGCTTTACCATTCAACTTTGCAAAATCTCCCTACTTCAGATAGTACTCACGAACCTTGGCCTATAGCAACTTGGCAGGTTAGACTCCTCCTTCATATAACAAATTGCGTACTACATTACTTGCCCAAGAAAATGAGCATATTAACAGAAAACTTCGACTCATGGAAGAAAAGATGAGCATCGATCGTTTCTGATGTATGGTTGGTTAGGCAGAAAAGTGTAAGTGTTATGCCTTAAGTCCAATCGACTTTGGACATAAATACCTTTTAATATATAGTTGATGCAATTTATGGTAGATTTATTATATAATTAATTAATGTTTAATCGAATTAAATAATGGAGTCCGTAGATTCAAATCTTAGTAATTTGTTAATCACAAAGAATTGTGATTGTGAGATATAAATTACATATGATTGAATCTTAAATCATCCATGGTCGTAAGTAATGACGAGATACGAATATCATTATTACGGATAGACCATTACATGTGGCATTTCTTACTTGTGAAGTAAGTAGCCGATCTCACAAGCTAAAGTGTGGTGATACTTGAATGAATACGTGAATGTTTTGTTACAAAACAAAACATTGGAGACCCGCTGAGAGATTTCATATGGATAACTATCTGAGTGTCAGTGGTTAATCTCTAACATTCGGTAGTTGAATTGGTCCTTTGACTTGAGGTCATCATAGTGCCTTGTATGAGGACAGTCATACTTTGACGGTGTTGAATTTTGCTCCGCGAAGAGCCGCTAATACAGCATCGTTCGGGTATGTCAAGAATCATATAAAGGTTGTGAATGACCAATGGATGATTCGCCACTCTTAGATAGTTAGAGATTATGATCTGTATTTCATTCAATTAAGTCGATAATGAAATTCTTGGTCAAGGTGTACTCATAAGTCGAAAACTCATAAGTCAAAAATGAGTTTTCGACTTATATTGACTTAATAGTGAAATGAAATATATGATCGATAATCGGGATTGACACACTTTCATATCTCGTAATTGAACGGATCATATTAACGAAGAGATTATAGTTTCACGGTAAATGAACAAGTTTGATTTTATCATATCACGTGACATTTTCCATCACATATATTGTCTTAACATATTGCTAAATGTCAATTTGGGACGACGAATGTGAATTGGTAATAAATTAAAAAGGGTGTTTTAATTTATCAATTTTGATTAGATCAAAATAATATTTCACTCGTTAGGCATCGTGATTGGGAACCTGATGAATCGCACACAAAATGAGAACTAAAAGATTGTAATTTGCAATTAATTAATTTAAGAAGCGTTGGATAAATTAATTAATTTGATTGTTTATTTATAGGTCTGAATTAATTAATTAAATTAATTAATTCAAGAACCGAATTTAATTAAATGGGTTAATTAAATATTGGACCGCTCAAGCCAAGCTCGTTTGGGCTTATATAAATAAGTGATTAGGATTTTCAATTAGAAGTGATTATTCATTCTTGCTAGCACA